AGCCTCCTCTGGAAGTGGGACTTCTCTTCCTGGGCTCTCCTTGCATTGTGGGCTGGGAAACCATGAAAGTATTTATTCACAGAAGCAGATGGGTTTCTAGAATAAATCTTTAATATCCTTCTGGCTCCAACGATACCAGTACACTCCTCCCTTAGCTAAATCTGTTGTTTCCACTTCCAGTGTCCACGACAGGGGTCTAAGCACTGCCTATGTGCTAAATCTCAGTGGAAGCCAGTGAACCTTCTGATCAGCCCACCAAGTTGCTAGCATCACTGACTATTGATTAACTGTTAATGTATTTCAGGTACAATGAGTCACACCCAGATGCTGGCTGAACTATCTACCAGGCAAAACATCAATCCAGGGTTGGTGGTATGCAAACCGCAAGGCATTGTTCTTTCTTGATTGTTATGAATTATTCACTATTTTCCCCCTCTAGATGCTGGTAAACTCTGTAAAAAATGATGCGTAATTAAGTTTGTGCTCTTAGTTGGGTTTGACATGTATCCTATTTGAATAGCATATCCAGTCCAGGAGATAACAGAGGAAGGCAGTTTCTATGTTAGTGACTTGGAAATCCTAAATTTATTCAACAGTTTTTAATTTTCCCCTCCACTTGAGAGGATAAGCTCCTAGGACCTGTGTTCACTTTGTGCTTGAATATCTCAGCTGAAGGAGAGGGGTGACCCAGGCTAGCAGCCATTGCCAGGAGCACTTGAACACAGACACATTTGAGCACCACATTTTCACATGTCCTGGACTGCCTGTCTGGGAGCTGGGTCTTTTTCCCTGCTAGGTTTAGTTCTGGCTCAGTCCTCTCCTAGACTGAGCGAGTACCCATGTGATCTCACAGGAAGGCTTGAGAGAATATGGTACCCCAAGTCAGCCAATCTGGGCTTGTGGCTACTGAGCAGCCCCAGAGAAACCCTGTCTTGTCCCAAGACAGGTCTATGGTCACCTCTGCCTAGGCTGCAAGAGAAGGAGGCCCAAATCCATCCCTTCTGAACTAATATTACTAAGTGCTCTATGCAAGAGACAGAATGTCCAGCCCCACCAGAGCCCCATGGACTCCTCCTCACCATCTCCCCAAAGATAAGAACTCCTTGGCCCCTTAAGCCTGTTCTTTGTCAATTACATGTGTCAATTACATTGGGGGAGATGGTGACGTTTGTTTTAAGTCCTTCAACAGCCCTACAGTCCCAAAGACAATAGTCCATTCTCTACCATCACCATCTCCCCCAATGTGCATTGTGCTGTGCATGTGGTCCTTGTTACCTGGTTGGTTAGATTATTGGGGACAGAGATTAATTTGAAGTTCCAGAAAATCTCATCGCTCTCATATCTCACTCTAGCACAACAGACAGTAAATGTTTCCCGTCTGTCCATCATCCACATGGAGCAGTCTTGCACTCACTCATACAGGCCATCGGCTAGGCTTCATTCCTCCTCCAAACACAGGCAGGAACACAAGAACTGCCCTGAGCAGTCCTGGTCAGAGCTTGGTCAGTCACCAGGACCTGGTTTTCTTTCTTTCCCTCATCTGTTTCCCTGATTCTCCCCCTTCCTCCTGACCCTTGTTACCTGGAAAGGTCCAAGGCTGCAGACCCCAGAGCTCTGCATCCTCCACTCCACCATGCAGAGTTGAGCTCTGTCTGTGTGTGATCTGTCACCTCTGTGATGAGGAACATCCAACACAGTCACCTCTCCTGTGAATACCAGCCTCACTCTCTATTGGTAACGTCCATGCAAATAAAAGATGGGGTGTCAGCAACAAATCAGAGTTAACACGCCCTGTGCTGGGATGCTGGTGTTTTACCCATGAGTCAGACACCCTCCAGGTAAGGATCTGTCCTTTGGGATTTTCTTGCCTCTTTCATGTCATCTCCTGCAGACTCTTATCTAGAGAGTGCACCCAAAATCGGACCTCCTCTTACCTTGATCCTGTAGAGTTGGCGCTGCACTCACAAGTGCTGTGACTTGGGATCTCCCTGACCTTCCCTCTTTGGTGCTGACCCTCCTTGCTGTCCTTCCTGTCTTATTGCTTAGTGAAATCAGTTGCCCACCGAGTCATTTCACACTGTTTGTGTAAAAGAGAGGTTTCTCTGGAGTGGAATTTTATTGTTTTGTCCCTGCTTTGCTGACTAATTAAAACACTCAGCAAGTGAAGGAATGAAGCCTCCCACACACACACACACAACTTGTTCATGTGGTACAGTCCTGTGTGACATGTGAGCAAACAGAGGGGTCACTGTCTATGAAACTGGGCTGTGTAGTAGAGCCCAGAGTGCGGCAGAGGCAGAGTGGGCGATGGTGAGGAGAGGGAAGAAGACCAGACAGAGAGATGAGAGGCCCCACACAGGAAGGCCTCACAAAGCAAGAACAATGGCACTGGGCTCTCATCCCCAGAGTATGAGGTCTGAGTCTCCTCCGTGTGTGCTGTCAATGCCTCCAAACTTGCTTCTCTTAAGGGTCCCATACCATTCTCAGAATGCCACACAGTGACTCATGCTGGCTGGGCTTGTACACACAATGAAACACCTTAGGCTACAGGTACCCTTCCAAATTGTACAGGCAAATCTTTACAGCTCCTGCATCATATTTTAAATTTCCCTACCTGTCACCAATGACCTCTCAGGGCACTTGCTGAAGATGAGGGGTACTCACTGGAAGACATACAGACAATCCACCATTTTCAGCCACACAACTGAGATATCTGATAGCAACTACCCAACACACAAGGTATTGTCTGTGTTAGCTCCTCCCAGCCACCCCTAAAGAAAAAATAAACTTAGCACTGCTTGTGGCTCTGTCTCAGACCCATACCAGAGGACTCTCTGATTCAAACCTGCTGCTCTGTGGTCATTGTATGGGACCCTTAAGAGAAGCAAGTTTGCAGACATGCATTTCCTACTCTCCTCTTGGTACTAGGGTTCTCAGAGGTAGATCTAAATCAAGCTCACCAAGACTTGTCTATAAAACCCTAACCTCCAAGCTGGAGGGAATTCAAGTGTCCTTTATCCCTGTTGAATGCCTTCCACATAAATTTGACTTCTTCAGAAATGGCCAAATTCCACATGGTGGTAAAGAGAAAAGAAGGAAGACATGTCAAAACCACAAAGGAGTCTGGCCAAGGGAGCCAGAGACTCAGAGTTCTATGATAAAGCACTCAGAGAAAAGAGTGTGGGTGGAAAAATGGCAGTCTGTTCAAGACTGATAGAGCTGTTCAAGATGAAGAGAATGAAAAGAGGCCACTGGGATGATGAATGCAGATGGTGACTGTAGGACTATATATGGTCACATGTGGTACATAACACACATGCCATGTCTGACTCCACCATGACCATAGCATAAGCATCTGGCAGGTACCATGCATGAATTACATTTGACTTCACCAGAATGATAGTTGAGCATCAAGCATCCCATTTGAAATCCTTCCTATGACCTCTAATATCCACAATTCCTGACGTGGCAAAACCCATGAATGCTTGTGTGTGTTGTGTGAGTGTACATGTATGTGTGCATGAGTATTGTGTGCATGTGTGTGTTTGAATGTGTATTGTATTTGTGTTATGTGTGCATTGTGTGTGTTTGTGTGTGTTGTTGCTTGTGTGTTGTGTGTATGTGCATTGTGCATGTGTGTGTGTGTGTGTGTGTGTGTGTGTGTGTGTGTGTGTGATGTGTGTGTTTATGATACATGTGAGTGTTTAGAAAACATATTTAGGCAGGAAGTAGGCCCATAAAACAATTGTACTTTTTATTTAGAAACCCCCCAGGAAATTTCAAGAGGCACAAACTGTGGAGTGGCTGACCACCCTATGAGCTTTAGTCAGTTGACTTTTTGTATCCATTTGTAAAATCTGTGGTATTAGATGTTCACCTGTTTATAAAATTATAGGGCTTGTAAAATTATGGTTCTTCCAATTATTAAACACAACAACAAAAACAAAAACAAAAACTGAGGTAAACCTATTCTGGAAATTTTTGATGTGTTTCTTTTAATATCTATAATTAAATTTGCAGATATTTTCATGTATGTGTGTGTGTATATGTGTGTGGTATGACTGTGTATGGGATGTGTGTGTGTGTGTGTGTGTGTGTGGTATAACGATCTGTGTGGTGTGGTGTGGTGCCTGTGTCTGTATGGTGTGTGTGTGTGTGTGTGTGTGTGTGTGTG